ATGTGGAAGGACTGTCATGGATATCCCAATAATGGTTATAGGAAAAAAACCCATACAGAATAGGAAAAATCATTATGGGTCTTCAATAGGCAGCAGTCCTATCTAATGAATTCTCTCTTCTCGTTACCTGAACACTTTGCAGTCTTTACTGCTTTGATCTTTTCTATGCTACAGAGATATGACCCTTTTTGAGATCAGGAATCAAGAGAAAAAGAAAGAAAAGAAAGGAATTTAATCAGGTCAAATGCAAGGTTGATGAAAAATTCACTGTTAAGTAGGATCCTTCCAAGTCTAAAGCCATCAACCTAATCAATGATATTTTAGTGATCTCATAAATGTGAGAGATGAGAAAAACTGAACTATTCAAGTGCATAATGGAATTAATAAGAGCCTTTTCTGCAGCCCTTTCCCTCTGCTTTTTGATGAAGGAAGGATTTCATGACCCCAGGAACACTTCTGCTGTCTTGATACAGATAAAGGACTCCATGTTTGACCTATGTGTGACCTAGTGACCTGAGCATGGGCTCATTAATTTTATTCTCAGTTATATTTTACTGACAGGCTGTGCTGTTTTGACTAAGTCACCAAGGCCTGACCTTCCATAAATATCTACTGTACCCTGTATTTGGATTTGCAGTCTGTGAAATTTACTGTCTGATTTTATGAGGTGCTGAGCACTTGCAGTGCTTTTAAAGTGTGAAACATTAAGTGACAGTTTTGAATATTTTGGCATTAGTTCCTTTATGTGTGTTTCTCTTCACTGTTTTACCTCCATTGTAAGATTTCATACAGATTAATCAGGATTTATGTTGTGCAAAAGGCTGGAAATGTGAGTGGTGTGTAACTGAAGAATTATGAGTAACCTTCAAAAAAATCCCAGTAACCTGAGAAAAATAAGTTGGTGGTCCTGATGTGGTAACTGAAGGGATGTATGTCCACAGCAGATTTGTAAATGTAATTTGGACCAAAATGTTTATGCTTAGAACCTAAATTAGATCCCTATATCCATCTGAGGTTTTACACCTTGGTTTGTTTACAAAAAAATAGAGAGCAATAAAGCCCAAGAGAAACAAGTGATGTACAACACAATTTTTCACCACCTGCTGATTGATGCCCAGCCCATCCCTGAGCAGCAATCATTCTCTCCCAGCCAACTCTCCCAGTTTATATACTGGGCAGGACATTCTGTGGTATGGAATAGCCCTTCGACCTGTTCAGGTCAGCTGTCCTGACTGTGCTCCCCTCAGCTTCTTCTGCCCCTCCCTCACTGGTAGAGCATGAGACACTGAAAAATCCTTGACTCGAGGTGAGCACTACTTAGCAACAACCAAAATGTGAATGTGTTATTAACATTATTTTCATACTGAATCTAAAACACTGCATTCTACCCGCTTCTAGGAAAATTAACTCCATCCCAGCTGAAATCAGACAGTGGAACAATGAATCACTTCTCCTGTGTGCTTGTGCATAGAGGTGTCAAAACACATCCTCAAAACTAATTACAAAGACAAAACAAATACTCAAACACAAATACAAATACTGGATGATTAAAAGTGCCCTTGTTTTGTTTCATTTGTTTTCCCCTACAGAATATGGTTACAGCACTGTTGCTGTTTTACTTATTACTATTGGATCTATGTTTGGTACAACTCTCATTTTATTTAACTCCTGTCAAGAAATCTATACACTCGTTTTACAGCTGTTTGTCGGTTTGGCTGTTGGAACCCTTTCTGGAGATGCATTGCTACATCTTATTCCTCAGGTAAGTAAAAGACACTTCAGTGCTTTTACAATGTTGACACATATGCGTGTGTGCATGTACACACAGAAAAGTTTTATTTAAACCTGGATAATGCTCATCTGTTTATAAATAAACTTCCCATGAAATCTACCCAGCACTCCAGTTACATTTGCACTCTGTAGTTCAGAGAGATGTTACAAGTAGTAAGAAGCTGAAATCTATGAATGATAAATTCAAAGAAAATAAGGCTCCTGTTTTCAAAACAAACTTTTCAGAAACCCCACAAGTCCTGTGCAAGGCACGTTTCTAGATGTGTATTAATTTCTTTCATGAGCCATGTTCTGTAACACATCTCAAGAGAAATTTTTCAAGGGTTGTATGAGGCATCCACAGTCCCCTCCACATGTTTTTCCGGAGAACCAAGAGTTGTCAGCCTATAAGTGTAATAAAATTGGTGCTGTGGTGTTGTCCTAAATTCATAAAATTAATTTTAAGAACAGGATAGCATGCAAAACAGAACCAAATTTTCCATTGTATATTCATTTACTTTTGACTGAGTCTCCTCTGATATGACACAGATGTTATGAGTAGAATTCTAGTGGTTGTAGAAAGAGAGCTTCACAGCTTCACTTGAGATTCTGGTCAAAATATTCTTTGTACTCAATGCATCATCTCTGGAAGCAAAACTGGGAGAATAGTTTAAGGAAGGCAGTTCTCAGTGAACGTCAGACAAATGCATTTATTTCAGAAACACCTTTGGAGTGTGAAAGTATTCTCCTTCACCAGTTTTAAGTGATGTATCCCAAGCCTTTAAAGAGCTCACTTTCAGAGCAAAGGGAGGGCTGCCGCCACTGGAGAAAAAATTGAAGTACACCCACCAGTAAAAATGGATTTATGCATTAGTTATGCATTAATAAATTCATGCATTGTTTTCATAGAATCACAGAAGTTAGAGTTGGAAGGGACCTTTGTAGATCACCTAGTCCAACCTCCTGCCAAGGCAGGGTCACCTAGAGCAGATGACACAGGATCGCATCCAAGGGGGTTTTGAATGTCTCCAGAGAGGGAGACTCCATGACCTCCTCAGGCAGCCTGTTCCAGTGCTCTGCCACCTCAGTGTAAAGGAGTTCTTACTTGTGTTGATGTGGAGCTTCTTGTGTTTTAGTTTATGGCCATTACTCCTTGTCCTATTGTTGGGCACCACTGAAAAGAATCTAGCACCGTCTCTTGGCACCAGCCTTTGAGATACTTGTATGTATTGAGGAGATCCTCTCTTAGATCTAGACCTAAGAGATCTAGATCCTTCTCTAGATTACTGAGGCCCAGCTCCCCCACTCTCGCCTCATAAGAGAGATGCTCCTGACCCCTTATCATGCTGGACCATCTCCAGTAGCTCCTTGTCTGTTTTCGATATGAAGCTTACATATTAATATGATGCAAGTAATTTTTTTATAGACTTTATAGACAATTTACTCCAAATTATATATATATATATATATATATACACACACACATACATAAAGGGCAATTTCATAAAACATAATTTTACTTCCACCACTGAGAGATGAAGTATAGCGGAGTCTGGTAATAACTAATTTCATTATCTGTTATTCAGAGGATTAGCTCAAAACAAAATTTAAATTTGAAAGAACTGGGAGAAGAGAATTTTGAGAATAAATTGAATTAACACATTGTGGTTTGCTCTAGCAAAAATTAAAACATTGCCATTTCATTTTTTTTAACTCTATCTCTTTTATTTCAGACTCTTGGTTTACATAAACATGAAGCACAAGACATAGAACATTTCTATGAGGGAAAAGAATATATTTGGAAACTTTTGGGAATAATTGGAGGAATTCATGGATTTTTTCTGATAGAAAAGTGTTTCTTTCTTTTGGTAACACCACGTGAACAGGTAAAGCTTTCTACAATTTATCCTTTAAAAATCTCTTTTGAGATTTTACAGTGCACAAAGTGTTAAAATGATTGTGGAAAATAATTATAATTTGTGTGAGTTAAATGAAGCATTTATAATTGCTTTCCTCAGTGCTCCTACCAGATTGACCTTCAATTTCTATTTTGCTTTGCTCTGTGGATTGTGCATGCTACATGAACGTGTTCAATATATTTATAACTCAAGAAGGGAACAGTTGATTGAATGTGTTCCATAAGCATGCATTTATGACTCACATTGGAGCAGGTAAAAAGTATGTATCCATGTGAAATAGCAATGACGGTTGTTTACTGTAGGCTCTGTTTGAAAAGGAGAAAGACATAGATGTAAGAACAAGATATTTTCAAGAATGATATCTTAAAATTTCCAAATTGTCTTTGATCTCAATGATTTGAAAATCTAATATGTATGTTGCAGTCAGTAGGGCCGGAGCTCTTATATTAACATTATCTCCTTGCTCACTGACATGTTTATAGTAATTCTATTACTTTATTTCAGTGTGGATGGAGCCTGAAAATATGATTATGCACAAGGATATAATGTAACAGAAAATGTGATGGCTCATTAGGCTTCTCAGTATGAGACAGAATCTTAATGTCACTTAAGAAGGCTAAACCTTTGCTTGTTCTGTTTTGCAGGGTTTGCAAAGAATGGCCTGATTTAGATATGCAGCAATGAGTCCCTATTCCCACTATCTTTGAGTCAGTCATAAGAATATTGTGTGAGATTAATAGAATGAGAATATTTTGATGCTGGTGATGTTTGTTTTTTTTTTTTTTTTGTAAAAAGGAGTCCTCTTTGTTACTTATCTGGGAGAAGGGCTTTATCACTATCCCACAATTTTTTTAACTTTTTCTACTGAAAACTAGATTAATTCTCAGAGTCAGTTTTTATATCCATCTCATCTTCAAATTTTAATTTGATTTTTAAAACAAACTAAGTTTTATCACACCAATATGGTTGTCACTGATTTATGATTCACTTTTCAGGGTTTTTAAAGAAAATAAGCATTAGGAAACAATTGATACCAGCCAACAATCTTTTTAAATAGATTTTGCTTTGAAAAAATTAATTCTTAAAAATGCTAAATTTTCACAAAAGGCTGAGAAATACTGCACCTGTGTTCATGGGTTTCAGAACTAATTGCAAAGCGTCTTCATTCAGCAGGGCCTTTCTTTAGTTAATGGGCACTGGGGACATTCCCATGATCTTCCAGTGGAATCTGAATTAAATGAACATTCAGGCAGAGGCAAATCTACTTCAACCATACAGTTGGTAGGTTACCAATATGACATACTTCCCTGATTTTATGTTCTTCTTTCTCTATTCCTGAAAAAAATGAACCAAATTAATGTAATAAATCAGTAATATTTTTCGGTTTCTATTGATTTGGTGTTATTACATGACATGATTATTAGGAATCTATAGATTTTGAAGTTTATAATGAGCTTCTACAGAGATTTCAAGCGCAGATACTTTACAATAACTTTTCTTCAGTGTGTCTCAGATTGATATAACAATTCACCTCCTGTACTACATTTTGTTAATAAAATTCTTGAAGAATTTCCTCTTCCCTTCTTTTAAAAAATTGATTATATGTAAAGGCAGATTCTCCAGGGGAAAAACTTTATGATTTTCTGCAGTGAGAGTTCAGTGCATAATTAATGAACAGATTAAATCTTGGACTGTTCTTGAGCATTTTTCCACAGATTTTAAGGGTAGCATAAGCAAGTTGGATACATGGGAATGGTGCTTACCTATAAAAAGTTACACGGTTTTATATTGGCCTGTAGATAGTATCCAGACAGATAAATCCTTGCAAACTACATTGACTCTTAACTCTTAACCTGTTTTTTCTTTTTTTTTTCCAACAAGTCTCCTCAGTTTGTATTCAGTATCTATGTACATAAGTTATTTAAATAATAAGTTGCTCCAGAGATCCATAATGTAAACTCCATTTTACTAAGTCAGTTGTGATAGGCAAAAGCCTCATGAGCCACTGCTAATCTTTAAAACAGAATTGGGAAACTCTCAAGTGAAAACAGAGCAAACAGATGAGTGAAACACGTTTATTAATTTGTGAGCCACGTCATAGCTTCCTGTTTATGATAATGAATGATCATGTCATTCCACTCAGCTGCAAGATGCCCCCAAAGTTCTATATAGATCACATGAATTATCCTGGCTTAGCTGGTTTGTACAAGAGCAGCCAATTTTTCAGAATCATGTGAGTAACACTAAGACAAACACTGGTTGACTAAGAAAAACTTCTAAATCCTTCAGGTCAGTGATTAGTCTTCCAGTTTTGACTCAGAGTTCAAAGAAGTGGCATGTGAATAAATATTATAGGAGAAATGGAACAATTACTGGAATTCATATGACTGGCTGCAATCACAGGAATTAAAGACATTTATTTTTCCTTTAAAATGCAGAATTTGAAAAACATTCTTTTTTCTTCTCTCCTCATACTTCTACAGCACATATCCCACATCACAAGCACGCTAATACCGGCCAATTAATGTATTCTATTTTCTACTCAACATACATCCCTGCTACAGTTTTTGGAGTGGTATCTACTGTCCTAACACTGAACTCTTGTGCTGTTGTTGACTCTTCGCTGGCTACCATAATAGGTTTAAGACACTTTTTTGGGGAAAAAAAATAGCAATGATAAATTCAGTTTTTCTGGTTTCAAGCAAACAAGTTTTTTGACTTATCTCTCACTCACATGAATTTCTAATAATTTCTCTATTCAGAAAACAAAGCCCCAGGGAGGTAGGGAGAGTGAGAGATTGCTCATGTTCTCCCTTCTCTCCCCACAGTTGCAATATCTGTTAATTAAATGTTGCGGCAGATGCATCAAATTAACTCTCTAGGATAAGGATGAAGATACTGCCTCTTTCTTCACTTGAAATAAGGGTAAATTTCACTCCTTGTAGTGAAGTCTACTCATGTGCTGCTATGTCCAACCAGGGATGTCTAGTGCTGAGACAAAGCCCCAGATAAAAGCCAAGAGTCAGGGCACTGGAGACTGCACCACACTGAAGAAAACCCCCTGTATTTTGAAAGGGGGTGAAACCTACCCATGATCATCTTTCTTAGTCTTGTGTTTTCACAGAGTAACTATGAGGAACATGAATGCCAAAGAGATTCTACCTATTATTCCTTGGAAATCCTATGGACACCTTCTCCATCAGGAAACTACAGTTCTAGTCATGACAAAATCAAAACGTGTAATTTGAATCATAATCTCCTTTTTAGTCTTGCATTTGGCTCAGATTTTTAGGTATTCAAGCAGAAATATGGTTTTCTTGGGCAACAACAGTGCTTATGTATATCTTCCTACCTGAATTAGACCCTCACCTTTTCTGGGCAAGGGAGATTTCTTTCTCATGTGTTTCTGCAGTACCAATCACACTGCCAGCGGTCAATAAATTATTCTAATGATATCTGTGCAAATAACAATTGACTATCTTTTATTCAAATAGCTTGAACTTAGTTGATACTTTCCAGTATTTATAGCAGCAATTGGAAGAGCCCCTTAACACTGATCCATTATCTTTACTTTTAACTAGAGAAGCCCTGAAGATTCTGAATCTGCTGAAGTTCCTCCGGAGAGCAAGACAATCAGCAAAAAAAGTTAGTATCAATAAAAAGACTAGACAAGTAACAGGAAAATCCTTCAGACCTAAGATGGAATTGAAAGTCTGAAGCTGGCTTAGCTCTGTGCTTGCTATGTGCTATGTCGCCACATCTGATGGCGCCTGGCTACATAATTTAATCTCTACTTAAAGACCTTCTCAACTGCCAGCCCTGTAATTGTGAAGTTCATTAGTCTTATACTGTCCTTGCTTTAGTGTTTGCTGTCTCACTGTTGCAATCTATTTTTCTAAAGCCTTTTCTTAAGGGGAAACATTCAAAAATTAATACAAAACAGATTTTTGTAATTATAAACTTAGCTCAGGCTTTTATTTCTGAAGGTGGTGGAATGATTGTTTTGTTGGCTCACTATACTAATATAATTCTGCTTCCTTCTTCTCTTACACGGTAAAGCAATAGCCTCTTTGAACCAGTAATGATTTATTACAGGTGTGAAATTACAGGCTCATGATGGCTGTCGGTTTTAGTATAATCTGTTTTCTTCAGACAATTTCAGATAATTCCTGTCTTCTGTGTTTGTTGTTGCTTAATAAAAAAAATAGGAAAATAGAGTATAAATCAAATTCTCCCTTTGACTGTATCTTGTGACCTTGGTAAATTCAGTAGAGTTGCAGTCATTCACCTGAGGGAATGATATTTTAATTGAAATCAGTTTATTTACTATAATCAACTCCCCTTAATTTTGTGATCTCAGATCTCAGGTCGTCAGTGTGATTTATTTAATGATGTCATTATCTTCTAGGTTTTTAATGCTCTCCTCTGTTCTTGTGGACTTAATTTCAGTTTCTGAGGCATTAGAAATCTAGATTTTCATTTCTTCAGTCTCGAGTCTCCAGTAGTACACAATCCAGTGCCAGTTTGAGTGTGACTTCGTAGTTCATCTCTAGATATTTCCATTCAGTTCAATCATCATTATGTGCTAAGCACACACTAATTTCTAGTGATCTCAATGTTATTTGTTCTAAGTAACTAATTTTGTGATAGTTTTTCAATAATCTTCTTTGTTTGGTATCATTTTATCCTGATTCCTCAGTCTTACCTCCATATTAGAAATCAGTAAGTGAAACCTCAGTAGGAAAGGAGGGGTTATTTTGGGATTTGGGCTTTGTTTTGTTTGGGTTTGAGTTTTGTTTGTTTGGGTTTTGGCTTTTTTGTGAATACATAATTTCAGCAGACACTGATCTCTTCTCTTTGGTGAGTAGTAACAAGACCTGAATGGCCTGAAGTTGTGTCGGTGGAGGTTTGGGTTGGATATCAGAAAAAGGTTCTTCGCCCAGAGGGTGTTTGGGCACTGGAACAGGCTCCCCATAGAGGTGATCACAGCATCAAGCCTGACAGAGTTCCAGAAGCATTTGGACAATACTCTCAGGCACATGGTGTGACTCTTGGTAATGGTCCTGGGCAGGGCCAGGAGTTGGACACAAAGATCCTTGTGGGTCCCTCCCAACTCAGCATACTCTGTGATTCTGTGAAAAGTTTGTATTGTTAGAGTTCTTTTAAATGGCTAAATGCATAAATATGCCTGGGTACCTTCGTACTGAGCTAAACTTTTAGGTGCTTTTTGTCCAAAACTGAATGGAATCTGCAGCTTTAAGGCAGAAGCCTGGCATTTCGTCCACTGGGAGGCTTCACTGTAAATGTATGTCAAGTAGGACTGAAAAAGGAGTCAGTCACCTTAGATAGCCAGTGAGTGACTCAGAAAGAAAGAAGCTTTCTGAAGAGAAAGATGTCTCACAGGCCCTCTCCTCATTTATCCACAATTATTCTGTCAATATCTGAAAAGACCAAACAGTAGCATTTTATATTTGGTATACTCAGTGACACTTTACATTTACTAGAAATATTTTTTCAGTGTGAGTCATTGAAACATTGGAAAAAGATCTATTTATGGATGTTTGCTTTAAACTCTTTTTCAAAACTTTAAAAGTGTAATCTATGATTGAAGTCCTGCACGCATTAGTTTTGGGGTTTTTATGAAAATTATGGAACAGAATTTGCTATGAGTTCTGATCCTCTATTTAAGCAGGAAAAAAAATTAAAAATAAGTATAAGATTTTTGAAGAAGAAGAGGTTTTGTAGAAATAGTTAAGATAATAAATTTATAGTTAATAGTTTCTGTTGGAATATAATGCAGTGAGATAATTGCCAGTAACAAAGCTGCTTTAAAATAGGCTGAAAGTAAATTAAGATAAACATTCAGATTTGTTTATACATGCATCTTAACTTTCTGTCAAGTAAGTTCCCGAAGCTTACATTTGCAATTGCGTCATAATGTTAACCTGATCCCTATGTTACATTACACACAACATGCTGGAGTGAGTTCCAGTAATCATGGTATATCTTCTTCAATAATAAGATACTTGAACAAAACAGACTAATAAGATCTCAGGGCAGGCCACAATTTCATCCTTACTAGTGCTTATTACAAATCACAAACTTAATGTAGTGCAATAATCTATTATTTCTATGTAATTCATGCTCTGCACTATTGATTATAAACTGCCCATAGTGTTTAGAAAGAACTGTACAAGCTGGGGACATCCACGTCCGGCTCTGTAAGCTGGCAGGAAAATCTAACAAGCCTGCCAATACTTCTGAACCCGCAGAGCTCCCAGGCAACTAGGGAAGATTTTCTGAATACGGTTGTTAAGCTTTTATGTGCTGTGTGTTTTTTTTTATAATAGTCTGAAGACTTCATTTCTAGCCAGTTTCTGTAAGAAAAACATCTCCCCTGTCACTATAAAATAGTCGTCTCTGAGAAACATTACTGAAGTGAAACCTGGTAATAACTATATTCAGGCAGTTTTGTGCAGCTCCACTTTAGGTCCTTAGTCTGTCATATTATGACTATGGGGGGTCATCAGAAGTCAGGAAAATACATATTTAGGGCCCAAATCACGACCCTGCTTCTTCAGGCATGAAACCAGCCCTTTTCAAAGTGTTCTGTCCATTCTGTGTAGCGGGAAGCTGAATGAGTTTCCTGAGAAACATTAGGCAGTCCTGCTTGTGAGCTTGTGGATAAAATGAGTAAAACAAAGCACAGGATAGGGGAGCCAACTATGTGTTGCTAAGTTTAGACATTGAACCTATATAGAGCCTTGTTGCTACTTGAAGAGATAAACTCTCTCCCTGTGAATCCATTCAGCATGCCACCCAGCTGTCTGTGCTACAGGCTGGACAGAGAGATTGTCCCTAATTCCCTAGCTTGATTTCAGTGCTTGCATCCCTAGAATCACCTTTCCACTCATGTCAGATGTCTGATCATGAACGGCCAGTATATTGTTCCATGCTAAAATGAGGTCACAGAGCAGAATGGGAAAGACAAACAGCCACCTGCACCCATGAGTGGTGCTCCAGATAGGAGTATTATGAGCATAATAGCCATTAATTGATTGGAACAAACTTTGGAAATAAGCATGCTGTAACCCTGTACTAGTAGTGATACTCTGAGGCTTGTTGTCTTTCATCTCTATCTTTCACTGAAATACAGCCTCATAAAAAATAGACCCTGCAAATATTATTCAGTCTTAGCAAGCTCTACAGGATTAAAACAATCAGCTGCCTGAGACCAAATATTCATCTTCAATATAGCTCTGCAATCCTGTGAGTTCCAGAAAAATAACATCTAGGAATAACATCTAGGAAAACTTGTGTGAATTTTGACAAATAAAAAATGATTAATAGAAACCCTTGAGATGTATCCTGAGACTAGACTCAAACCTAACTTTTTGTCTAATAGTTAACCTAGTAAGAATAAGGAAGTTACTGCCTGGTATTTGCATCTCTGAATTGTACTGCAACCCACTCTTTTAGTTTCAAATGTATTGAAGGAAATGCAGTAACAAGGGAAAAGAAGTTAAACACACTTTCCCTCTGACTATTATGACTTATAATTTTAAATGCAAAGTCACCAAAAATCCAAATCATTTGTAAATAACAAAAATTACAATATCTGTGTGTGTTAAAACCTCTGGGCTTTTTATTTGTTTGTTTCTTTCTTTGTCTTTTCTGAGGTAAGAAAATCAGCCTGTTAGCAATAATGGTTCTGGTGGGTGACAGTCTTCACAATTTTGCTGATGGCCTGGTAATAGGAGCAGCATTCTCATCCTCAACAGAAACAGGTGTGACAACGACTGTTGCTATTTTATGCCATGAAATTCCTCATGAAATGGGTAAGAAATATATATATATATATATGTATTTTTCCTGATTGGCTTTGTATTTCCAGGTTTCCCAAAGAGTTCTTTCATGTATGATATTTGTGGGAATTCTTGCTTATAACATCATGAACATTAATGTGCAATACTCCTACTTTCTTTCCCCTCCCCAAAACCCAGGGGAGGCTTCTGCACTCATTATTGGATGCCATCCCATCTCACTTTCTCCAAATGTAAAGGACATCAGGCCAAGGGTGACCTGTTATTCTTATGTGTACAGAGACAAAAAATTATAAACTGAGAGCAAGAGCCATGTGTGCATAATGGACATGCCTGACACAATGGGCTATCCAAGACTTTCAATATGCAGCAGTTTCAATATTCCCCATGTTACCCTCCTTCCTGCTGCTAATCAAGAATAATAAGGTAGTAAAAGAAAGTGTATGATCTATTTTACCAGTGGACAGGACAGGAAGATTGTTCTGTTGAATATTGTCCTCAATTAACTTCTTGTGGTAAAACTTTCAGCATAGCTGAAGCTGTTCCTCACATTGTGTTGATGAACATGTATAAACTGGAAAGTTTGAGATGAGAACTACAGATTCTTATTTCCATTCTTAAATGACTGAAGATTTCATGCACTATGTAGAAAACTTCCCCAAACAAAAGGTGGGATGGGGGATTCCTGTAAAACTGGTAACTCTTGTTTGGATAGCAGAGAAAATTCTGGGCAATAGTGCCCCAGTGTCAAAGTGGCAATTTTACAATCACAGAGTAGAATTTTTAAAATCTTCTTCTGTGGACCTGTTATGGAATCTCAAACTGGAATCAGACTGGCATAGGTTACTCTGACTTGCAGCACCTGTAAAACACTCAAACATCATCCTGCAAATATACCCACATTTGGAACTGGCAAGTTCCCAGTGGAGAAAGATTTAGAAACTCTGGGAAAACATGTGAGTTCACTTTTGCTTGTACCCAAGTTGGAAATGTCATAGAACATCGAGAACTAACAGAAAACTGCTCCTGTATACTGTATGCTATCTTTAGGAACAGCTAAACAAATACAAGTAAATATTACTTTTTTGTTGTTTTGAGGTTTTGGGTATTTTTTTCATATGGGACGAGTTTATAACTAATTCTAAGAAATCTAAAGGCAACCCTACGCCATTCACTATCTTTGTGCATGTCTGAATTATTTTCCTTCATGTTTTATTACCAAGAGTCTTCCAAATACATGTATCAGCTAAATAATAAATTTTCTGTCTTTTTCTCTATGCAGGAGATTTTGCTGTGCTGCTAAGTACAGGGCTCCCCACGAAGATTGCAATTCTGATGAATTTTATAAGTGCACTGACAGCATTCTTAGGACTTTATATTGGCCTTTCTCTATCAACTGACCCATCCATTCAAAACTGGATTTTTACTGTTACAGCTGGAATGTTCTTGTATTTATCTTTAGCAGAAATGGTGAGAACTTCAGTCTATGGGTATATTTTCCTTTCAGCTTAGCCACACATTATAGATGAGTGTCAGACAAATGCAGGTGGATGAACTCGGAGAGAAAAAGAGCTCATAGGCTTGTTGGGAAGAGCATGTCATCTGCCCTGTGCATGTACAGTACTTAGTACAATAATCTGGTTTTGTTTCATGTCATTCTCATGCTAGGTGTCATTAGTAATGAAAAGGTGAAATAAAGGCCATTAGGAGGCTAATACATGAGAAAGGCATAAAGGACTTTTAAAGGAGGAAACGTAAACAATATATTTTTAGTTACTTTGTGAAACTTAAACATTTGAACCTGCAGGGTTTTTTAAAACCCTGAAGAAGTTGGTTACTTTTTTGTGCCCTTTTCTTTATATAATTTTCATCCATTGTTGCAACACGAATTTGCTGTTTCTGAACTAAAATGCAAAGATGCTTATCCTGCACTCTTCCTTTCTGTCTTAGATTTGGCTAAGCTCCTAAGTAATTCATAAGCCATCACATTGCCTCAACTTTTTTGTATTTGCCCAATATTTTTCATAGTCCCAGTTCAATAGCAATGATCTGACTATAGAAAAATAAAGTGTGAAGATATACAGTAGGAGAAAGGTCTAAGGACTGTACAAAGAGGTATCCTAGCTCATGCAGATACCTCGGGCCCCATCATTTATTGAAGAGATAGCTAACTGTTACACTTGTAGCAATGCAGAACTTAATTGCCTTCCCAGCTTTGTCACATGGTCTTTCACTCTCACGTGTTGATGTAAACTCGCTTACAAGCTCCTGAACAGAGACGGAATATTTTGAGTGATTAGATGAAGAGGGAGAAAAAAAAGTCACTTCATAAATTATTACTGTGTTTTCCCCAAGCCTGGCTGTCTCTCAGTTGTGTTCACTACTACCTCCCACCTTATGCCTGAGATATTAGTTACCAGGTTCAAGCACAATACTTTAAACCTGATATGCCATTCCAGTATTATAACCTATTTAAAATCCTGCTTATAATAATTGACCTCAGACCTTGGTAGTATTTATTCTATTTTTGCTATTGTAACTAAAGTGAACATAAAGTGCTCCGAAGAGCTTAAGAGGGAACTGCCTCAGGATTGTGGATGTGTCAACAGTCTTGACTGAGGTGGTAAATAACAGACAAGAACACTGTGTACCAAGCTGCAGCTTGTTCTGAGACTGAGAAATTTGGAAATGAGGCTGCCTACCTACTGAGTAGGCATGGTTTTACTAATAGGGCTAAGAATGACATAGACATATTTTGCAATCGGTGTAGGATCAGCATTCGTCAGGGATCCACAAGCTTCTAGAACAATACCATGTTTTTCCCTGTCTTAAAAGCACTGCACCATCTGTAAATCCCAAGAGATAATACAGTTCCAGGCAGAGACAGGGACATGTTTTCCCTTGTTCTCAGCTTGTCCCTGTGATCTTGGTCTTGATGTGAAGAGGAGAAAGAAAGGAGAGAGAAGGGAGGATATTATTTCTCTCAATACCTTTTATTAATAGGCTTTGCATATTCTCTGTATCTCTGTATCTATTTCTCTGTATATTCTCTTTGGTTTGCTCATCTGTGTTTGGCAGAAGCGTCAAATATCTCAGGGATTATTTTATTTTTAAAAATTATTCATGTAGCACTAAGGGAATCTATAGATCTGAAAAGTTTTGTAGTTTGTATAGTACATGTCAAGAAAATGAGCCATACTTTATGTATTTTTCAACTTTCTGCTCAGAAGTAGCTTCTATTCTCTGCTGCATTTTCATCTGCAAACAGCAATCATCAGTGTTCCTGCCAATGGTGTACGAACACCTAACGGAATACAAAGCTTGCCTGTAATTTTCGGTACTTGTTTTATGGGCTTTCACATATTCATGTGCTTGTGACAGCAGCAGTTCAGTAAAATTAAACAACCTCACTGGTTTCTGCGTTGAGGAACATTGAGGGGTATGAGTGGAGGTTTATTGACAGAACAGCACTGTGAAACAGCTACCGCAGTCAAGTTAGCACAAAACTATTTCTGTGGTTGATTAAAGGTTTTTCATTTTGACAAATGGCATTCTAGCTCCATTAGTAAGCAGGGTAGACTAATAATTTTAGAAACTGAAAAAAGTCAAAAGGTAAAATCATTTATATCCTTCATCATTTTTCACCAAAAATTATGCAAAACGGATGTTTGCTCTGACTAACCTTACAAATATTTTTGTTTTTGAAAATAAAGGAGAAGTGTTTAAAGTGATTTACTGGGCTGTTGCAGTGCAACAGTCATGCCATATATGCCCCAGCTTGGTAGAACTCCTTTTTAGCCAGTACATGGCCCCTCATGCCTCCTTTCAGCGTGCTGCTTCCTATTTCTTCTTATCTTTTGTGTGGTCATGATAACATGAGCTGGAGTGAGAATAGAGTAGTCCCTTGATGTGGTGCTGCATTCTCTCAATTTTTGAAGTGGTTTGCATCTGCTGGTTGAATAGGCTTATGCTTCCTAAACGAGATTCACTCTGCTGTACCGCACACTTTGTTGGTCACAGAGAATTGCGGAACCAAAGCTGATATTGTGACAGCAATCAGCTTTTATTTTTACAGATAAGCAGGGATGTCACAATAGGTATGGTTATAGAAATGGTCTGCGTGTTGATAATACGCACGTAGGTTAGATGGAGGGAGCAGCCACCAGCACTGGACATGGGAAGGGTGCTATCTGATGAGAATTCTTTTTGAAAACTTTCTTAGAAACCTACTGTGTATAACTCAGAAATTGCCACTGACAGCAATAAGAGAAAAGACTAGATTTTGCAGTGGGAGGAGAAAAAGTTTCCAGTTTGGAGAACTTGTTCACTCAGGCACTGGGGAAGAGGACAAAATAGACTGATTATAAGCATAAATAAGAAAGACCAAATGTCTAGACTGGAACTCTGAATTCAGGCTTAGGTCCTAATTAACAGTTTTTGCTTAAATACACAACAAAAACCACGTGCTCCGGGCATTTACAAAATGTCAATTCAGATTTTGATTTACATCCAGAACTTTGAAGTGTTTGCACTTTCTTTGGATTAAAAGTTTCCGGTTATCTTTAAATACAGATCAAGTATAACTACATGAGTTTCTGTACCATAATTTAAATCACTGCCTAGTTGTAACGAAGATCCAGGGTGTTTGAGTTTGCCTGTTATTTTCAAACAAAACTTTAAAGGGGAGGCTGATTTTCCATTACAGTTTTCTTTTGGGCCCATGATAACTTCCAGAGAAAGAAGAGTGCAGAAGAAGCAGCCCCAGAGACCCCCCCTCTCTGAACAGAGGGAATGATAAGCATAGCAAACACTCCTGTTAGCCTCCTTAGTCAGCACCACTCCACTGTCTCCCAGTGGCTACTGCTGTTACAGCTACTGTGAAGAGGTTCCAAAGAGCAGAGGAACTCAGTAGCTTTGTTCAAGTGCAGGCTGCAAGTGGAGTAGACAAAAAATCGCAACCAAAACCAGAGGTCAGCACCAGGCCATTGCTTTATATTTATTTCCTGAGTTGATGTAAAAGTATTAGCAGTTCTTAGTGTTTCCCCTTGTCTCTATAAGACATAAAGCAAAAATATTAAGAGAATTTGAGCCTGAGGCATCATTTTCACAGGCTCTGTTTAGACATACATTTAGCTTAAAACTTTGATAAAAGAGACCATGTACAGTGGAAGGTCATTGTAAGTAGTTTTTAGTATGATTATAAACAGGTGCTGCTCCTTTACTTGATTTAAAACTCACAGAGAAAAATATTAAACAATTTTTTCAAGCATATATAAAAAATCCTCTTTTGCTCTTATACATTTAGTAAAACCCAAGTAAATAGGAGTGTTGGCAGTTATTTCAGAAAGAGCATGATTGACCCTATATTTAGAACTCAAACAAAAAATACTCCAACTAATTTATTCCCACAAAAGGGAATCACTAATTTTACTAAATAAGCATTTCCTTGCAGACAGCTATATGAAATTGCTACAAACTATTGAGAAGCTAACAAATTTCGGAATCTCATTTATAATTCTTGTCAGTGCTAGTAAAAGAACCAAAATGGGTATTTGGTTAATGCCCATATATTTGGTTAATTTAAATATTTCACTGTAAAGATCAGCTTTGTTACGATGTACAGAAAATGCTACACATTAATAACTACAGTCATAAGCTCAGCATTTTGAAAAGTTTTTGTTTTTTTAAATGAAGTTTGCCTTGTTTTCCCATAACTTTTTTTCCCACAGATGAATGTATCTGGCTCTCATTCTGATGTCTTATTCTTTTTTTAGCTTCCTGAAATGACTCATATTCAGACGCGGCGACCCTGGTTGATGTTTCTCCTACAGAACCTTGGATTACTATTAGGCTGGCTTTGCCTCTTACTTTTGGCTATTTATGAACAGAAAATTAAAATATAAGTTTTCTGTTGGAAATCTTGAAGTACCACTTATGACAGTGGATAGCATTATTCATAATTTTATCATATCTGCTATAGTGATATATAAATTAAGTTGCTGGGATTTTATATCTGAACAGTAGATAACTATTTTACTTTATTAACTTATTGTTCAGATTTTGTAATTATTTTTTTTGTGAACATGAATGTTTAGAATTATGTTTTATTTGTTACTGAGTTTACCAGATCCCATGCTCAAACTCACAGGAGCTTTTGATTAGTTTTTATTGAGACCATTCTAGTTGAATGCTCTAAATGATCTCTGCCAGTCTGATTTGAAGAAAAGAATAAAAAACTTTTATATGCAATGATTAAAATGGACTAACCATAGTTGAATATTTTGGATAAGAAATGTTTTTCTGCCTCTTAGTACAAAAAATTAAAGTATTTCTATAAATCTAAAAAGCATAGGGAAACTAGACTGCTAAATGGCATGTACCAATCTTATAATATCTGCACTGTCTACTTTGTCAACATAAATATCCTCAGCAGTCATATCTTACTGGTCCACTGTGGCAGGAAAAAAAATGACAAGCGTAAAAGTTTATGATGTAGAAATCTTTTCAAACTGCAATACAGTTTCTCATACATGTGATGGAACCTATGACAGTCAAGCACTGAACTAACTGCCTTTTGCATTATCTCACCCCTGATGGTTGCTCATAGCAAATGCTTATGAAGGATTATAAGAACTATGTTTAATTGTTTTTCACTGATATCCCTTCCAAGCTCCTCAAATGAAGGAATTCCTTGAGCCAAATGTTGCTTCTGAGACATCACATTTAATAAACACCAGTAGTGCCTTCCTGTCAGCAGTTAGCTTATTCATACATATGCAATGTGCATTCTGGATAGAGCTTTTTCAATTGGCTTAAGTGCATGTGGCCTCACTGCAACTCCTCCCATCATGAGTGATTTTTGTGTAATTAGTCCTCTTGATTTCAAGGAAATTCTGCATAAGTTGAGATGATTCATTTAGTTTAGTATTGCAGAATCAAGTCTGAAACAAATATGCAAAATCTGCCCTAATTCTGAAATGCTGAGAAACTACTAGGATGTACTGAGCAGCACTCTGCTGTGTGATTTCAGGTATTTACATGCTGTCAAATTCTGATTTGAGGACTTCTCCCCTACCTAGTTTACACTTGTATATTGTGTTCTTTCTTTCTTCTTTGGTGAGTTGTGGAAATAGGGAGAGCAAGTTACAGAAAAAACATATATTCTTTATGCAGCAACTGGAGATTTTCTTTTCCTTATCTTAAGTCAAGCTTGAAATATGGCTACATCATGACACAAAATAACTTTCTCACAATGTGTCCTGTGTTTATTTGATAGCTCCTAGTGAAGGTACAATTATTCTCATATTATAGGTGGGAACAGTCTACACTCCTATAGTAAACTGTCAGACCTGTCAGTTCTCAAAATCTTCATAGGCATCAAACTTACTTATCCAAAAGATATAAAGTGAAAACACAGCACCAAGCCTGTCTGAGTTCAAGAAGCATTTGGACAATGCTCTCAGGCACATGGTGTGATTCTTGGGGTGTCCTGCACAGGGCCAGGAGTTGGATTCGATGATTCTGATGGGTCCCTTCCAACTCGGAATATTCTATGATTCAATGATAGCCCACATTCATGATGATCCTAATAACCCACAGACTACCCATTAGGAAAAAAACACTTAAAGATCAATTTAAAGGTAGATATGCACTCATTTTCAGTGCTTGTTAGTTATGAAAATCTGTCGGAAATACTCCAATGCACATCTAAATGTGAACGTAGACATTTACATGCCTTCAGAAACCTTGTCCCAAGCAATCTACCCAGTCACACAGGAAGTCTCTATCTGACTAGGGGAATGAACTGAGCTATTTTTAAGTTCCAAAGTAAAATCCTAGCTTTTTTTTTTTATTTAGGTGTGCAAATATTTTGACTGCCTTTTCTGTTGATGTAACTTTGAAAGGTGAGCTGAGAAGCCATGACTAATGCTTATCTTTTCAAAGTTTACATTTTTTTCAGGCAATTGGGCTTCCTTTTAGCAAGGTAAGATTTTTAAAAAGTGGTTTCCCAATATTTCATCTGTTTTTATTGGCACCGAGTCACTCCATGACCTTCAGCTGTGACAGTCAATTCAAGCAATAGCAGGGCATCACTGGACGTAAGCAAAATCTATTCTTGTATCAGATGGTGTGAATGAATATTGGAAACATTTGTTATTTCAAAGAGAAGAGCTACCATAGTTTGAAAGTTTATGTAGGCCTAATGTTCGCTACCACAGAAAACAAGATTACCAATACAAGCATGTTTTGATAATATTATATTCTGAAATATTTTTCTACTATTTATTAATGTGTCTGAAAGAGGGAAAGTAATTTCTGGCAGTGTGTATTTTAAAGTTGCATATCAGCATAGGTTCACATCCTGACATGATCTGTGAACATATTGTATCCACGTCTGTTCAGAAAATGCCATCTTTTGTCTCTATATATTTTTCAGGTAGCTTGATCAGATTAACAACCAAATATATTTATACAGCTCCCACCACAGGCACAGATATGTTGATCAGAATGCCAGTTAGTCCTTATTTCTGCAACAGAGCTCTTATGCTTCTGTGGTGTTTGTCAGTAAGTGAGCAGTTCAGTCATTATTTTGCTCTGGTGTCATATCCAAACACCTTTAGTCTCATTAGTTTATGGAAGTTTGAATTCCTGTGGCATTTGTGAGAGAACTTATCTCACTACTTGCAGTTAGCGCCTCTACTGTAAATCTCTTTACGTTAGTGTCTTTAAAAAGATACTGAAGGTAAAAAGAGGCTAGAATGTATATTAGGAACAATATGTCATACAGAGGGCCGGAAAGTCTTCCTAGAGATCACTAAAATAGAAAAGTAAATAAGTTTAAAACCAAAGAGATCCACCTGCAGAATTCATCTTTTCAGTCAATTTAAAAATTCCAAGAAAAATAATAGAATATGTTTTTGTGTCCTTACAAAAGGGAAGATTGTGCACAAGTATTCTTATGATGCATTCTCTTTTAGTTTGTTTTAAGTTCTGTAGAGTTTGTTCGTACAGATTTGAAACAGAACTGTTTTAAAGCCAGTTAAATTTTTTCTGTTCCTTCAAACCTGACAGTGAGCATAATATGCCAGTGTTTTCACTGAGTCAAATCCTGAGTAAGGGCTACAGAACTTCATCACTTGCAGACCTTAAATCATGACTAGGTATCTCTCTAAGAGGTATGCAATTACTCAAACAGATGTTATGTGCTTGATGGAGAGATTACTTGGTGTGGTTTTACAGCCTGTCAGGCAGTTCTGACTAGATAATCATAATGTTCCTTTGAAACCCTAAAATACATGAATCTGTAGATACAGGAATTTTTCTGGAAGAAACTGGTTAGCATGTCTCCCTTTCATCTATTCTTAGTTTTCAGGAACTCTCAAGATGAAAAACATAAAAAATATCTTGCTTTCCTACACAGAAAATTAGAAAGAAAAGGAAAGGTTGAAAGAATTCGTTTGCCACAGTATGTTTTCCTGGAAGTTAAGTGACAGAGGGCCTCATAAAAAATATTTCCAATTTCAAACTACCATCACTCCTAAGCATGAAAGCTGACCTTGTACCTCTCTTTTCTGTATATGTTACACATTACACAGTGACTCCTAAGATAAATAATACCTTCTTTGCAGCCAGCTATGCTAATGCCTTCTGGAGCTCATCTGCATGTTTTAAATACTGGTGTCTATTCCTTTACTGTATTTTATGCTTTAAACATGAATGTGGCATTTCTCTGGAGAAAAAAAATACCTCTTTCATATAAGAAAAGATAGTTTTCTTATTTATATTTGGATTGGTTTTCTATCATCATGCATTGCATTTGAGAAAGCTCATTATCATTTTAACAATTTTTAGCCTGCAGCTGGAAACCAAAACCAGGTTTATAGCTGTCTGAAGTATGGATTAGGGCTAATAATTTTATAATAAGGGCATATTTTATCAATGTTGTTAGCTTTTCTTTCTTAATTGTAACCTTTTGTCAAGTCTTCCTCTCATTTTGAAAATAAGCTGCCTTCTATTGTGAGTGTAACTGTAGGAATGTGACTACAGAAAATACAAGCAGTTGTTACACAATAGCTTTAATCAAAACAAAAAGTCCTGCAATTTATTTTACTAGACCCACCTACATTCCTTTCTCCCCAAAAGAACAAAAAAATCCACACATGGAACTTTTGCTTTGGGTCACGTAGGGGAATGTAAGAAGTGCCTCCTTCCTTTTATGTCCCTGATAACAGGACCAAGCACAATGGGAGACCCTTCCTAGACATCTGAATGCATTGAAATCACTGCCAAGCTTCCGTCAGTGGAGAACAGCATCCTGGTGCAGGAATCTAGAGGGCTGGTGCCGCTTGTCCTTGCAGAGGTGACAGAAAACAGAGCAGACAAGGGGAATCTAGAGGGGGGCATCTCAGGATGGCACTTCAGCAGTTGCAGCAGGATGATCAAAGGTTTTATAGCTGTCTCTGTATGACCCTGCAACAGCTCACTTCAGGGCAAATTCTCAGACAGTTCATGTTGTCTTGGCTTTGGATGTAAAAGATGCCATGGAAGCAGTCTGGCTGATACCCCCGTGAGTGCAGGCTCCTGCAGTGCAATAATCCACAGGACCCCAGCAGCCGGTGTGACCCAAGGGATGCCCAGGACGCTGCAATTCCACATTACAGCTGCAGGGCACCTAAAGGGAGCGCATCTAGGCAGTCTCTCCTCCCCAGGGTCTCAGCTCTGACATTGCCAGAGAGCATCAAACACAGGATTACCTGTCACCCTAAATGCACCTAGCAACCATTTACATACTGGCCCAAGATAATGCCAACCAACTGCTGATGCAGTACTATAGATGTCTCTACATGTGACATCATTTTGTACCACTGAAGCTGGCTGGAGAATCCTCTCTCATCCTTTTCCCAGGGGTCAGCAGGACCTAATTTGACCTGTTCCAGAGAGATGACAAGAGATATGCATAGGGGAATAGAGTAGTCAATTATTATGACATATTCCACTCTTAATTTAAGATCATACCAACTTTATCTCCATGGACTCTCATGCTTCAGGGAAGGCACCAGGACAATGCCTGAACTGGTGTGTTGGGCAGATGTCCAGGTTGTCCTCTCTGGGGTACATGGAAGGTGAATAGCAGCCATAGCTCAGGCCTGACAGTTGTTGCAGAGTATCCCAGGTGTCCCTGTCATTGTATCTGCCAGCACACCACCTTGCAGGAAAATTCATTTTAACTTTTCTGGCAAGGACTTTCTAATATTTGTCCTGTGACCTCCTATGCAAACACCATAACCCATATGATATGAGCTCTTACCTGTTCTCCTCCACCACCCATACTGGTGGTTTTGGACCACTGTGTTGCAATTGTTCGTGACTTCTTATGCTCTGGAAGGGAAACAGAATGTTGAAAATTTCACTGAGGATCACACAGAAAGAGATATTATTATCTACATAGTGATACCAGCAATACACCTCTTATTAGAGAGACACTGCTGTTTGTACTGAACACAAGTAAATCAGTCTTTTGATTCCACGCTGAAGTGTGTTGGTGGTGTCGTGGTGGTTTTGGGTGGCTTCATCATTAACAGCTGGTAGTGTGTCCTAATTTCAGGAGTTGAAAGGCCATCTACATATTCCTGTGCAGAGGTGTAGTATGAGCTCTGAAGCAAGAGTACAACTACTTTATGGCTGCCATCCCAATCCAGAAGTGGGTGGGTATTGGACTTAAGTATACAACCTAATGTCAGCTTTATACATGG